CAAATTAAAACTTCTTTGTATAGCTATTTAAAGATAATAATAACAATAATAATAACAATTTTCTTTTTTTAAAAAAATAGGTGAAGCTGGGCACCAGTGACTCACTCCTATAATCCTAGCCATTCAGGAGGCTGAGATCTTAGGGTTGTCCTTCGAAGCCAGCCTAGTAAGGAAAGGTCATAGACCCTTATCATCTATACCCAACAAAAAGCTGCAGCCCAAATGATAGACTGCTAGCCTTGACCATAAAAAGCTCAGCATAGTGCCCAGGTCCTGAGTTCAAGCCCACACAGGAAAAAAGAAAAGGAGGTAGAAAACTCTTACAAACCAATCTTCCATTGGCCACTGAGACTTCACAGTAAATGGGTGTTTTTTTTCTATCAAATCTGCAGCTCTGTCCTTCTCCAGTAACCCTCATCCAACAAACCAGAGACACAAGCAGTAAAATGTGTGTTCAAAGGCATAGGGTGGTGAGGTGGGAATAATAGGCTGATTGCAACCATTTAACAAAAGGCTCAGAGGAGATAAATGTCCTAGGGAAACTTACCAGAGCAAGAGAATCATGATTTGTGGGTGGGTGGGAATTTTTTCCTCTTCTTTTTTCCCATATATGAATCTTCTATTAAAAGTTTATGATTTTTAATTCTTTTTAATGGGGATGATGATTCAGGCTGCACTCTATGTATAAGTTGTTGGTGCACTGGTTTTTGATTTGGGGGTGAGGATGGGGAGCAATTGCAGCCTCTCGTCTCCCCTGTCTATGTCTGGTAGTATAAATGTTCCAAGGAGGCATGCTTAGGTTTCATGCACATCATAAGATTTCTCCTGCCCTTTTCCATCCTGAGTCCAGAGGTCCTAATCACTCAGTGTTAAAGATATGGAAGGTCTAACATTTTCTGAGCACGGCTTAGAGGGAAGTGCAGGTACTGTGCTAAAAGCTACTACTGACCCTGTTCCTCCTGTGTGGTCCAGGGAGAAAGAAGAGTCAGCACTTTGCTAGGGCTGGGTAAAATCAACATCAGCTTATTGTGAAGAGCAAAGCAGTGGCCTGTGCTGCCCTCTTGGGCCCTTAGCTTGCTGACTCAGTGGCTGCTTCTGAGTCTTTGAGCCTCAATCAAGAACTAAAGCAGCAAGCTTGGGGCTGAAGAGAACCAGCAACCACAGGTCCCATGGGCATTGCCTTTCTATGCAGTCTACCTGCCCCGAGCCACAAGGGGTCAGCTGAATGTAAGTTCAGGCCATTCAGACAGGTACCAGTGATAGCTGGCGGGACTCTTCCTCTTGTCAATTTGGCTGTTGTGTGGTAGTTATGAGAATCCAGTGGCTGAAAACCAAACCACTGTTGAGACATGAGATGTTGGAGAAATAAGTCTGTGGAAAGATGGAAACTAACAGGATCAGTGCTGTTTAGGTTGTGAGCATTTCCTTGGAGAAAGGGGGCTTCAGCATTCAGTCATTATCTGAGTGAGGAATGTTTGGGTACCCAAGAGCCTGTAAGTAGAATATTAAAATATTTTTCCAAGGAACCCAAAGAGCTGGTGGTAGCTGTTCCTCATCTCCAGGAAAGATGCCACTGGTTTGAGAAAAAAAAATGTCACCAGACTCTGAAAATAATGAACCACACTAAAAAACCAAAAGAAAAAAAATCAAAGGGCTGTGACAGATTTTCTACTGTGCCCCTCTAGGAACACGTCAGGGTCCCCACCTGCTAGGCAACCCAAGTCCTTCCTGTGGCGGGCCAGCAGAACTCTAAAAACACACAGCAGTGAGTGGTTTGGCTTTTTTTTCCCTCATAGAAGAAAGTGTGTGGTTGACTACTTTCTTTTCCTTTGACCCTCCTTAAAGAGCGGCTTGAGCTGCAACAGCCCTGCTGAAAACCTTCAGGTGGCCTTTTGCTCCAAGGACTTTGAAACTAGCATTGTTGATTTTTCCTCTTTCCTGCCAACCTTCTGTTTTGTTTGCTGTCCAAATGATTTTAAATACAGTAGCTCTTGGTGTGGGGTGGAGGGAGGAGGCTTTTTGACTTTCTCTGCAGCCTATACTGAAGATATCGGGGTGATTTTTTTGGAAATAAGTACGCATCATTTGGAGCAGAAGTAAGATGGCTTTGTGGTCAGCTGGAGTGGGAATTCCATGTGCTCCAATGAAATGTCGAAACATCCGTGTCCCCAACACAAGACCTCTGTGTGATCGAGACATCATCCAGGATCTTGGTTATCCAAAGGGTAGAGAGGGGAGATCAAACGTCCTTTCATATCTTTATAAGCCTTGTGCAAACACAGCCCTGTGGACAAAGGCCTTCTCTAGCCCTTAACAAGGAGGTGTTTGTCCTGGCTGCCTGTCTTTAGCAGTAGAAGCAGGGCTCACCTGACTGTGGTGTAATGTGTTCTACTGTCATTTCGCTTTCTTAGGCCAGAATTTCACAGGTGTCATGAGACAGAGTTGACCACGAAGAAGCTGAATCAGAGTACTTATGATGAGCCTTCAGCAAGTGCCACATCAAAGAAGCATAGAGCTAGGAAGTAACCTGACAATGAAATTGCACTGACCACAGAGAAGTCAAATGATTCTTTAGTGTGTTTGCTTTTGTGCATGGGGATTAACTGGCCACTGATGCCAGGATCAGGATTCATGGCTGCCTTCATCAGAGACAAAGAAAAGGCCTAAGCTTAGGCTCGGAACACTCCCAGATCTGACACTGAAGCAACTGCCTACTAACCAAGGGGTTGGATTCTTCACCAGAAATCTTGGTGAATTAAACTGAGGCCTATGTGTTTGAGTCACCAGAGCTGTGTGTTCACTCAGGAGCCACTCTGTGAACATGACTAGTGAACCCTTGAAAGGTGACATCTGAATTGTGATGATCTAAAACAATAAGATATACTTTGAATTTAGAAAAACAAAAAGCACAAAAATTTACCTGGTAATAATCTTTATATTCATTGCATGTTAGATTTTAAATCTACTGTATGAAGGGACAGTATAAGATAAAATTCACCAGCTTCTTTTACTGTGGCTACTGGAAATTTAAAATCACGTTTGTAGCTGATTGATGTCTATGTTACCAGTGGGCTAGCATATGAATGAAGTTTAGGTTTGTGTTGCCATCTGCTGGTCAACCTGCAGATTTGACTCAGATGTGAGCAAGAATTAAGCAATCAGACCTACCAACACTGCCCCCTGGGGGCTAGAGTTGTGGCTCCGATGCTAGAGTGCTTGACTGGCAATAAGATCCTGAGTTCAATTCTCAATTACAAGAGGAAAAAACAAAACTTCTGCTCACTCTGCCTCCTCCTCAAAATCTTCCTTTCCCTGCAGCTCAATCATCAAATGGGTACTGAAACATAGACATAGAGACATCGCCTAACATAGCCTTGGGTCGCTTCCACATGCTGTACTTTTATATGCATTTTTTCATTATTTGCTCTTCTCTCCTTAAGAAATATTCGAAATCACTATTGTTTTGTAACCACTTAGCAATAGAGGGAGAACAGATGTCCCGTCCTAAAGAGAATGACTGCTTCCTCTCTTTGAATAGTGCTTATTTGCTTTTATTTCTCAAGGATTGAAAGTCAGAATCTTAATGATAAAATACCTGCATGTGTTATCTATTGCTGCCTAATAAAGCACAAAACTATATGGCATCTAGAGATGAGGAAACCTTTTTGGATAGTTATAACATCGTTAGTAGACCATACAAAATAATTGATATAGGTAGCCAATAAGAAGCATTGAAGAAGCATATGTGTCTGTCCTATCATGTACCAAATACTTTTGCCAGACATTCCCTAGCTCTGAAGAACAATAATCATTTGGCCTCTTTCACAGTTTCTGAGTCACAAATTGCCCATCTGATCACTTCTGGCCCAAGATATCTCAGGTGCTGGCTAGGGCTACAGACTGGAAAAAAATAATCCATTCCCAAGATAGTCAATTCAACAGATACTGACTGTTTATTAGACGCATGTGTGTCCTCTAGCCATCTTAGCTAGTTTCCTCTAGAGAAAACTAAGAGGCCTAAGTGGAAGTCTGAGTACCTTACATAACTTGGCCTCTAGTATGTTGATCAAAAGGCAGGGCCTATATCAGACCTCTTGATAGAGGAAGGCAGCATGATGTATAGTTAGATGGCCATTTGGGAGAAACAGCTGAAGTGCCTAATGCTTACATGGTGCATAGTTCAGAAACATATACCATTTTGCAGATAAGGAAACTGAGGCTTAAAGAACTGAAGTAACCTGACTGAGGTTGCATGTCATAAGAATGACCAAAGCACAGTTCTGGTGCCTGTGCTTATCCAAGTTGGATCCTGACCTTAAATCTCCTTTTCTGCTGTCATTTCCAAGAATCATTCTAATGGTTTTATTTTTCAAGGTGTTCTGGGCCTGCCTCATTAAAGAGTTTTACAGACATCCTGAGTTAAGCCATGTTTGTGGAAGAGTTTAGCTAATTGTAAAGTCCTTCTTACAAACATACTACAAAATGTTTTTAATGTGGCATGCACTAGTGGCTTATTCTGTAATCCTAGCTACTAGGGAGGCAAAGATCTGAAGACCAAAATTCAGAGTCATCCTGGGAAGAAAAGTCATTGAGCCTCATCTCCAGTTTACTGGCAAAAATCACAAGTAGAGGTATAGCTTAAGTGGGAGAGTACCAGCCTTGAGGGAAAAAGCTAAGCAAGACATGAGGCTCTGAATTCAACCCCCCCCCCCATACCTTGGCACACACAAAGAAGAAAGACACGTTTTCTATGCTATTTGCTTCAGAAATCTCAGGAATGATGATATTATAATATGTGTTATTCTGGTTGGTATCCAAACATTTTATCTTACTTGAATTTAAAACAGGAAAAAAAATCACTGCTTGTTTTCAGTAATTTCCATGTCCATGTTACTCGGTCATCTTAACAAGAGGTTTTTGCCATTTTCCAGTGTTACACCTGCCAAAATTGAAAGTAAAATCCAGCTGCAGTAATTCCATTCTGTTATGCTTGGTTTCAGGTCAAACTTCCTTTTCCAGTGGATCAAATCACAGACCTTCCAAGGAATGATTTCCAGATGATGATTAAGATGCACAAGCTAACCTCAGAACAGCTAGAGTTCATACATGATGTGCGGCGGCGCAGCAAGAACCGCATTGCGGCTCAGCGCTGCCGCAAGAGGAAACTGGACTGTATTCAGAATTTAGAATGTGAAATCCGCAAATTGGTGAGTGTATCCATCAGTTGTATTCGGCACCCTGAAGTAGCCAGGATTGGTGCGAAGTTATGATAGTGAGAGCTGAAGATGTAGAGGGACAGTTTAGGTTTATATTCCAATCAGTTTCTCAGTAGAAACAATCAGTAACTTTATATCTGCAATATGTGTAACTATATAAGCATATCATATCCTTTAGCCATTTGTATGAATTAGTTCTTTGGGGGCTTCTCTTTGACAAGTAATGGGAGCTGGTGTTTGTTGTATGCATCTATGTACCAGTTGTTCCTGTGGATGATCACATTTTATCAACACAATAAACCTATAACTTATATGCTATTTTGTCCTCATTTATAGAGAAGTGAACTGTGATACAAAGTGCTTACATAACCACACAGGATGTGGTACAGCTTGAATGGCAAATCTGAATGCAGGGGGTTTTTTTATTTGTTTGTTTGTCAGTTGTGGGTTTTGAACTTGGCCTGGGCGCTGTCCCTGAGCTCTTCAGCTCAAGGCAAGTGTTCTACCCTTAAGCCACAGCGCCACTTCCAGTTTTCTGGTGATTAATTGAAGATAAGAGTTTCACAGACATTCCAGCCTGGGCTGGCTTTGAACCACAATCCTCAGATCTCAGCCTCCTGAGTATCTAGGATTACAGGCATGAGCCACCAGCACCTGGCTAAATTCAGTTTTTTCATCCTGCTTTCTCTGTCTGTCAGCTGAAGAGTATAGGTTAGAAACAGGACAGCTATCTACACAGAGGGCCAGTCACTCCAGGAGATGACCTCCTGTAACCCTTTGTGGCCCCAGGGCCTTTGATTTTTCCTTAAAGTGGCTGTCATCTCTTTGCCATGTCTCAGATTGTTTTGTCTCCACAAACTTCCATCTCCTAAGCTCCTCCATACTCAGAAATGTGCTCCTGTGCTTTCTCCTTGGTAAGCAACCTTATGCTGCAGGAAGTAAATACAAGCAGCTCACAGCTCTTGACTATAGCTTTGAAGGCAACCAGCTGGACCTCACTCAGCCCAACCTGTCTGTAGTTCCAACCTGTCTGAAAAAAAAGAGAGGTCTCACGATGTGGTCATGATCTTAGTGGGGTCCTCAGAGTAATTCCAGCAATTCCTTTCCTCATGAGAAGACCTAAGGGCAAGGATAAGATGTTTGTACATCATCAGGAAGGGTTATATATTACTAAGATAGCCCTGGACATTGGGACTTCTTTGTAAATTAACACAAAACAGGGAAAGTCTACCTACATGCAGTAGCTCCCACCATCTAAATAGTGTCAGCTCCTTGGCCAGCACCAGCCTTGGAGATTGGACAACAGGTACCAAGTTACAGCGAGATAAGAGAAATAAATTCTGATGGGCCACAGTACAAACAGTGAGTATAATTCACAACGATCATTATATATTTGGTAAAGAACTAGAAGAGAGAAATTTGATGCTTCCAGACACAAAGAAATAATAAATGGTTAGCGAGAGGAAAATGCTCATTCCTCTAATTGGATCACCACATATTGTGTACACACCTGTACACAGAAATATCACGTTATGCTATATACCTATAAATATGTACTACTATTACATATCTTTTCTTAATTTTTTTCAGAAACATAGCTGGATGCAGTGGCTCACACTGTAATTGTAGCTACTTATGAGACTAAGTTCTGAGGATCATGGTTCAACGCCAGACTAGGCAGGAAAGGCTATGAAACTCTTATCTCCAATTAACCACCAAAAAGCTAGAAGTAGAGCTGTGGCTCAAGTGGTATAGTATTAGCTTTGAGCACAAAGGCTCAAGGACAACACCCAAGCCCTGAGTTCAAGCATCAAGACCAGCGTGTATACACACACACACACAAAGACATCCCCCTCCCCCACCCCACAATCTGAGGTTCAGTCTGCAACTGCCCCTCAGCATTACCTCCCACTGCCTTGCTAAGACCTGACCCCTAAGTCAAGCTGGCTGCGGGTTTTCCCCAGTCTCCAGCTGTTTTATTCTTTTGCTCTCGCTTGATGCTGCTTTCCCTCTCTTAGCTATTTTCTTTGTGTTTTTATGTTCAGGCCACAGGTCCCCTCTGCTGGAAGCCTGTCTTTCCTGAGTCCCAGCGTGGGCTAGGCTCCTAGGAACCTTTATCTGACCTCTGGTTTAGTGCTATGGCTCAGTCCCAAATTCTGTGTGTGTCTCACCAGCCTCAAACCTAGCCCTAGCCTGTTTCCCCAAGGGTAAAGACAGAGTCTTGGTTTCCTCTAAATTTCTAACATTGGCCTGTTGTTGGCTTTCAGGAAATGTCCATGGCCCTAAAATAACCTGAAAATCATGATTGTTTTGATCAGGAGATTTTAACCTTCTTTTATTTCCAAACCTTTCCTTGATGTTTTTATTTGTTTTGTGGTTTTTGTAGTGCTAGGCAAAGACTCTGCCACTGAGCTACACCCCCAGCCCTAACATTGTTTTAACAGCAAAATGTATTTTGATAATCTAATATCAACAAAGCATAATAAAGTACTACATATTAAATAAAATGTTATTATTTAAAATGAATATATCACTGGGTGCTGGTTGTTCACACCTATAATCCTAGCTACTTAGGAGGCTGAGATTCAGAAACATCAGAAAACCACTAGTGGTGCTGTGACTCAAAGTGGTAGAGTGCTCACTTTGAGCAAAAGAGCTCATGTACAGTGCCCAGGCCCTGAGTTCAAGCCCCAAGACTGACAAAATATCAATCAATCAATTATATCTGTCAAAAATTAGAAGCTAGTCAAGGAAGGATATAATTTAAGGAAGCAGAGCTTTCCTGCCTGTAAGTGTTTGGGTTCTGAAAAGGCCTTAGATCACTCAGCTTCCCAAGTGGGAGTCTGTGGAATCTTAGACACATGTCCATAGTAATTCTCAACAGGCATTCTTCTTGAAGTAGAGTAAATCTCTACCCATACTTGGAAAGTGCCTGATTTTAGTAATCAGCACTCTAAATGAATGATTGTGTTATACCTAGCAATGAAATGTACACTATATAACAGAATACCTAACTACTTTAGTAGTATTTTTTAGTTGGGGGAAAAAAGAAAAACAAGAAGAGCCAAGCCAATATCATGACTATAATCCTAGCTACTCAGGAGACTGAGAGCCAGAGGGTCCACATTCAAAGCCATCCAGCCAGACAGGGAAATCTGTGAAGCCTGCAGAAAAAGTTGGGCTGAAGAATTGGCTAAAATAGTTCAGTGCTAGCTAACTGGGCAAACCAAGCAAGCACAAAGCCCTGAGTTTACCCTGGTACTGCCAGAAAAAGAGAGGGGGGAGGAATGGAGGGAGGGAGGAAGAGGGTGGGGAGAGAGAGAGGACATCTAGTTTTCCACCACTTTTCAGCAGCCCCTTATATAATATGCTGTTTGGGTACTGAATGAGTGCTTCAGTTGCTCATTTATGACTTGGAGCTTCATGGTTTGGGTTGAGTTGGGTTGAGTTGATTTTTTTGAGACAGGAGCTAATGCTGGCCTCAAACTTTTAACCCTCCTGCCTCTGCCTTCCTAGTGGTCAGATTACAGGCATGTACCACCCTGCTCAGTTCAGGGTTTCAAGTTTTTAACCAAGGTATGACTTGTGCAGCCTTTCCTGCCAAGAGCCAAAATAATGTCACCCATGACACTTCATTTTCCTCCTATCTAGAAAGTGGCCTGGCACACTTTTCCTGTGAGTAAGCCTGTTAGAGGTCAGTGCTTTGGTGAAGACAATGAGGCCGAATTGAGCTTGAGATTCCACTTCTGCATGTCCTGTCACTTTTCCAGTCTTCTGGTTCAGAGAAGAGGGATCCAGGGTGCACAGACAGGCACCTAAAACCTTTTCCCCACCAGGGCCTCTCCCTCAGGTTGATTTGCCAACCATCTCATAACCAGGGTGCTGTACCCGCTTGCCTGGTCTCAGTAAAAGGGATGTCATGAATGGGAGGAGACAGTCCTCCGTCTTTGCCTGCCCAGGCCCCACATTCAGTCCCCCCCCCACCGACACACACACACACATACACACACACACACACACACACACACACACACACCATACCCACACACCCACTGCTCTTGCAAACTTGCATAATGTATTTCTGTCAAGTTACATTTGTACATCTGTTTATTTTTCATTTTGAAAACATGTTTTCTTGATAAATTTATAAATATTTTAGCAGGTGCCCTTTCCCCATGTAAATCTTTCTCCGACACACATGCCCACGCTGCCTGCCAGATTGCATTCGGGTTAGTGCATGCGCAGTTCCCATGTCGAGTGCTCACCCCTCTCTCTCGCATCCTCTCCTGGCCCCTTGCTGCCCCCGCGTGTTCACAGCCGGACAGGCCTCACTTCACACTGATTCCTGTGCCGGGTCTTCAGTCACTTTGTGTGTGCCTCCTGGATTCTCCCCATCTCCTCTCCTCACACAGGATTGCTGGTAGCACCTTCCTGAATCTCCTTTCTGCTACTAAACTCGTCTCTGTGAGGAAGTGATACATCGTACTCACACAAAAACACATGTGACTTTTTATTTTGGGTGGAACTGGGTTTTAACTACTGACCACCACAGGGCCTCCAGCGAGTGAGGTGCCTGCCACTCTGACCTCTTCTATTTGGGTTTCACATCTTGCAGTTGGGGGCTTCATGTTTGTGCCTGGGGCCGGCCTTGATTCTCTATCCTCCTCTGCACTAATACGTGAGGACTCAGGGGCCACATTTCTGGCTTCCCTTCCTGAGTCTGGGGAGAATCCCTGCTTAAGATTCATGGCATGGTTCCCGGTGTTCTGAGACGGCCCTGCCGCATTCGGTCTGCTGCTGCTGATGTGAAGTTGCCGATGGTCAATGATGCGTTGTTTTCAAATAGACTCCCTTCTTCAGAGTAGTTTTAGATGGATGGAAAATACAAAGGTCCCAGGTAGCCCCTGATCCAACACTCCCAACCTCCCCAACCCTCAGCATCCCTACCAAGGGGGCACATTTGCTACAATGGATGAACCTCTACTGACCTGTCATGGTCACCCAAAGCCCTTATTTTGTAACAGGTTCTCACTGGGTGTTGTACAACCAATCAGTTTCAATCCCTGTGTTGTGTCAGCCATCCACCATTGTGCATTGCGGAGTAGACTCACTAGCTCAACTGTTGTCTGTGTTCATCCTCTCCCCTCCCTCCTAGCCCTGGCAGCCACAGATCTCTTTATCATCTCCACAGCTTTTCCTTTTTTTTTCTTTTTTAGAATGTCAGAGTTTTGGAATCGGTTGGTTTCTGTCACTCAAAAGCACCAACCTAATGCATTAGAGGGGAAATTTTCATATATAAAGCTTGCAAGTAAGAGTTTTCTAGTCAGTTCTCCTCAAACCCCCAAGTTCCTATAAGCCAGAACACTGATTCCCTCAGTTCTTTGCTTGGTGGTGACTTTTTGGCCACATTTAGGCATCAGAGAGTAATGAAGAGGTGCAATGGAGCAGGTGTTAATGTCAGACACATGTGCTCCAGTACTCAGGTAGAAGTATGTGTCCACACTTCCTGTGCGTATATAGGTTTTAAGTATCTCTATCCTCACCTACTCGTCTATGAGTTAGTTTACGATGTAGGATATAAAAACAAAGGTTGGAAAACCCTCCGAAATGAGGCCTTCTATCCTCCAAATCCGGGTGGATCAAGCTTTCCTTTTTGTCTTTCATCCAGGTGTGTGAGAAAGAGAAACTCTTGTCAGAGAGAAACCAACTGAAAGCATGCATGGGGGAACTGCTGGACAACTTCTCCTGCCTCTCCCAGGAAGTGTGCCGAGACATCCAGAGCCCTGAGCAGATCCAGGCCCTGCACCGCTATTGCCCTGTCCTCATACCCATGGACCTCCCTGGAGCCTCCAGTATTAACCCCCCTCCCTTGGGTGTTGAGCAGAGCCTTGCAGCCTCCCAGTGTGCAGTGGGGGAAAATGTGCCCTGCTGCTTGGAGCCAGGTGTGGCTCCCCCCGGACCCCCCTGGGTACCAGGCAACACCTCTGAGAATTGTACCTCTGGGAGGAGATTGGAAGGTACTGACCCAGGAAACTTCTCCGACAGAGGACCTCCTCTGGAGCCCAGGAGCCAGTCGGTGACTGTGGACTTTTGCCAGGAAATGACTGATAAGTGTACAACGGATGAACAGCCTAGGAAAGACTACACCTAGGAACTCAGATCTGCCTCCCAACCTTCACACCTCTCCCATCCAGGTGTTCTTCAGTCAGCCTGTGGCACTGTACATCTGTTGTCTGGAAGAACCAAGAACAAATCTGGTGCACACTACAGCGGTCTTAGCAGCAATACTGTTCTGAAGTATTCCCTGCTCTCTTCAAGCAGGAGTCATAGATAGTTCCCTTCACAATGGTGCTACCCCTTGCTCAGGCAAGGAAAGACAACAGTGCTGACACTGTCTGTCTGTGGGTTTATTTCAGTCTTCACAGGGATAGACGACAACACCTCTAGGACCCCACCACGGATTTTTTTTCTCAGTGGCCCATGTCACAAACCCTATCTCAGGAATCTCTTCTGAATGTTCAATTTTTTTCATTGATGACAGCTTCTATACACATCAAAGTTTTATAGCTAGACTGTACATAGTATATATAATATATATGAAATATATATCCATATGCAAAAGTCCTGCATGCCTCAGTTTTTTTTTCATCCTAAAACTGGAAACTTATTTCTCATTTATAAACAGGTTCCAACATTCCTCTTCTTTTGTCTGTAGTGCTAGAACTAGTTTGGTAACCATCAACCTGCTCATTTTTCTTGCTTCATGGTTCAATTTCAATTTGTACTTATTTATGGACAAAATTCAATCATGTTGGAAGCTTTTTTTTTTGTAAAGTTTAATTCAGGCTTTTTCTCTTTGATTTGGGTTGGGCACCACCAAATGGTGTCATGTGAGCATTGTGGGTTCGTGCTTTGTAGGGGGTTGTTTTTTGTGTTGTTTTTGTTGTTGTTGTTTTCTTCTTGCAGATACTGTACAGTAATGGTCAATTCTGCCACTTGCACTGAGTTTGGGGTCAAACCTATTTTCTTAAATGAAGTTGTAACTTCAGTGTAACTCAAGTATACTGTATTTTCTTTGCTTTTTAGTTAAAAAGTAAAACAGTTTAGCTAATTAAAAAGCACTCAGGTGATAATTATGTAGGAAAAAATACAATCTTGCCAAATAATGAATCCATCCTAGGATATGTAAACAATAATCCGCTTGAATATTTTTCTATCTCACCTCCTCCCCAGCTTGCCCTATGTAAAATTTCACTGCAGATCAACTCGGAGTTGATGCTGGAGGTTCAGTTTCCTTACGGGGAGGATTTAGATGTCTCACTCAAGAGTACATCACAACAGCAGGAATCTGAGACTTTGTACCGGAACTCGACAGGCATTGGCTCCTAGAAATCAAGGTAGAACTATTTCTTACCCAGGGAGTATGTCACATTCATTTCAGCACTTCATCCAGCCTTGGCTTGCTCTTGGAAGTGTTAGACAGTAGGACCTTCTCCTTTGAAGGAAGTGGCTAATTAAAGCCACCCCACTTTCCTACCAGGATTACCTCCCAGGACACCTACCTGAGAGGATTTGAGTCATGGCCTGGGTGTCCTGCCTTTAAGTGGCAGCTCCTAGGTTAATGCAGCTTGTAAAAGTAGGAGAGAGCAGGGCAGATTTAAGCCTGAGATCTACCCCTGACACAGGCTAACATATTTCTTTCTCCTCTCTTCCTCTAAATGCTTTGAGTTGTACTCTGAGGTTTTTCTGCTGGTCTCTTGTCTGCAGGCAGCTTCATACTGAAGCTTTAGACAAGGCATCAGCCCTTCTTGCACACACACACCCTACCCTCACCTGAGGGTTTGCTTCCCTTGCTGTAAAGTTGGTTGGCTTGCAACTCAGACAGAGCAGCTTTCCTGGCTCTGGGGTGTCCTGGCCCTGGCCGTGTTGACAGGAAGGTGTGCCCCAAGGAGGAATCAGCTCTCTTCTTCCAGTGGTCCCTCTTCTCTAGTTCAGCAGCCTGAGGGCCACTCCAGCCTGGCTGTGCAAGGCAGTCCAGAACAGTTTGATGTGGGGATGGGGTGGTGGGCAGGTGGGGGAATAGATGATTGACTTTGTTTCTTGATTTGTGCCATTGTTTTGGACAATATTTAAAGCTGCATGTAAAAGGAGAACTTTAGTATATGATTAGTAGGCAAAAAAGTGAAATCATAGTAACCTATGTTTTAGTATTATTAACTTTTTTCTGTACAAATAGTAGCACTAAATGTTTGAATATGTATGAATGCCAGAAATGTGTTAGTTCATGCAGTAGGGGTTTTTTTTAAGGCCTTTTCTTTTCAAATAGTTCCACTTTTAAAACCTGCCTCTGGGTTTTCATGTCCTCTGTGTGTGTGTGTGTGTGTGTGTGTGTGTGTGTGTGTGTGTGTGTGTGTCAGAGAAAGATTTGGAGAAATCACTGCGATGAAGCTACCATTTTTGTTCTGCTTGTTGGAATTTCTTGGCCTAGTCGAACAGTTCTGTATTTCACCAGTTTTGCCTTTGTGGGAAACTGGTGACAGCTAGAATTTTAACTCAATGTGAATCACATGATACTATAACTATACTATCATATGATATATAACTATGCGTTATGGTGGAGCAGTTAGAAGACAGTATTTTATTTTTTCACTTTCATGTTGCCTTTTTAAGTGCTCTCTTTTGGAAAACAAGGAATGTGTTCTGCTCATACCACAAGCAGATGCAAACCAGCTTCTTGGCTTGATTTGCTCCAGTAACAACTCATGTGCAACTGGTAGGATTGACCTTGTTCCATCCGTTCTCCTGATTTGGGTTGTTTGGTAGCCCAGACATGTACCCCAGACATGCTAGGAGGGAAAGGGTCTTTATTGCTCTCCACCTGACTCCACCCTCATCTTCCTCTCACCAGTTCCTGACTGCTTGATTTCCTCTTCAACCACCCAGCAATAGGAACTGGTTTTAAACAAAGAAAAGAGAAAAAAACACATTACTCTAAAAACTATCATTCTATTCCTTAGATATTTTTTAACAAATTATTTCCTTTATCATCCACCATGAACAGCTACTGGAATTGTTTATGTGATATGTCTGTGTCTTTTACTATTCTAAACCATTGCTTGTCAAAATTGTCTCTAGGTTGATTCAAAGGGATGACTCACTAGGGACCAAAATCCAAATTGCCTCAAATGAAAATTTAAAAACCTAGTCTGTCTCCTTCCCTGGGATCCCTGAGTCAATCCTAAACCTTTTATGAAAAGGAAAAGCAAGAGAACAGAAGGAAAAATATTTGCACACTAAGGTGACATTTAACTGGTTTTTTTTTTTCCAATGGTCCTTCCTTATAAAGAAAGGAAGTTCCAATCATGGGTTATTTACAGGGGTCTCTGTGACAGCTTGGTTGAGTGTCCCAATGGCTAGGGTACACATGGGTTGTTGGGGTGACTAATTAACAGCACCTAAACCTAGTCCTCCCTTTGGATCAGCTTTTGTTCTACTTAGGTCTCTGGACAACCTCCGTTCATTCAGGTTCGTCCGGCTTTGGGCAGGTGAGTGCTTTACTGTATGTGTTTCTCTGCGTTATCTGGGGGTGCCTTGAATAAAATCGAACTTCATTATATACTGATTCTGGAACAAAGCAGTTGCAAACATTTTTTTAAAGCTGGCAAAGTTACTAGGCCATCCTGCTACTTCTCTTCCAGGTTCCCTAACCATGACTCAGGCGTCAGAGGTGATGCTGCCGTAGAAAAACGTTATTTTATATGTTGTACAAGTAATTTATTGACTTTTGTTCTAAAGGTATGCTGCTTTTTAAGGTGCACTATAATTTTGGATGTGATCCTTGCATTGCTTTCCCAAGGAAGTAAAAAAAAAAATCTAGTGACTAATATGCCAATTGCAAATCTCCTTAAAAAGGAGCCCAGGACCGACCACAGGACTTGCATGAGAGGACTGCCTAACACCTATGCTTCCTGTTGCTTTAATACCTTATGATTGCCACTGTGGTAGAAGAAAAAGAAGACACAGACCAAGGGTTTGTAATCATAAGGCTTTTAAGAAACAGCAAAATCTTACATCCTATGGAGTAATGTAATCTTCTCAAAATGAGTATAAACCTACAAAGGCTAGTCAAGTCTTTATTTGACAACCTATTTCTTCACCTCATGCCCCATTCAAACTAGTAGCTTAATTGACTTCAAACTTCTCCACTATTGCTAATAGTGTAGGGAGAATCTCCGCTCTGGCAGGAAGCAAGAATCAAGTTTTGCCCTCAAAGCACCAAAAAAAGAAAAAAAAACATATGAAAGAACGAGATATCTTCTTAGAGAATAAAGCTGTTTGTTGTTATCATGTTAGTATTCTTTCCCAAAGGTGAGGATTTTATTGTAGGTTCAATTTCTGGCAAGTCAGTCCGTGCCACAATGCCCTGTCCAGAGAGGAAGCCTGTGCATGCGAGCATCTCGTGTTCCACATGTGTGTTTATGACACTGCCCAAGCCATCTCTTGACCCAAGCATCAAAGGCAGATGCTGTAGACTAGGATATATTTGTGAATAGTGTGTGCAAATAGTATTTGTACATAGAAAAGACTTGTGGCAGATCCAGGATAAATTATTCAGCTGACAGTGCAAAAAAGAAAAACAGTACTTGCAAAGAAAAGTAAGTGTATAGTATTTTCCTACACTCCACCCTGGGAGATAATATTTATATCAAATAAATATCAGTACATTTTAATTGTGATTTGAAAATGATGCTGCCATTTTTTGTGAAAAATACCCACTTGGTTGCAGAGGCCAACTTTTGTAAGCTTTGATTTAATGTCGTGACATGGTGTATGCATTATTCAAGCAATGGACAAACAACGTTTATTCCACATTATTGACCTCAGATAAAACAGTGGCCCTTCATTGACACTGAAGTGCAGCGAGACCATTCATATCAGGTAGACTCCCATTCCGTGCCAAATGCTCCCACGGGGACAATCAGACATGTATTTAAGGAAAGAAAGAAGGAACCTGGACAGAGAAGGGTTTTCCTACAGATTGATGCAAAACCTGCTACCAAAACATGTCTGGAGGCGGAGGGTTGGCCTCCACTTGAGTCCTAACGATGCATTTGGGGCGTGCGGATACTGAAATGCTCATTGACACAAGAACCTGGCACCTGTGGTGAGTTACCAGGAAGATTGCAAATGCATTTGGGAGCTTCAGGTGCTTGTTAGACACAGTGAACCATTCACAGCGAGAAGGCCTGTGAGAATTTGTTCCAGAACCAGTCTAATGCAAGTGCACCTCTAACATATGCCTTACAAACTCCAGAGGCCATATTCAAAACAGGGTCTTCTCAGTGTATGCAAGGGGCTGCAGCCCCTCTCCTCTTCCTCCCCAGGTCGAACAATATGGACAGTTTTCACACATATCTACCTGTATAACCCTCTGTACCTCTCATAACTGGTCAACGACTGTAACAGGTTACATCAGGTGTTTTTCTACATACTTTTTACACAGATTCTATGCGATTAATGTAACTTAATTCAATGCATCATTTTATTGTACTAGTTCTTAGGCTTGTCCTTTTTTTTCCTAAGTGATTGTGGTTTTTCTTGTGGTTTTTATTGTAAAGATGAAATGGCTGTTGATGCTTATTCTCTGTAACTAAGAATTTTTACCTTTTGGGGGAGAAAAAGCATTGTTATGAACTAATGAATTGAAACTTCATTTACTCATTGTAAATACACTATTGTGCAAAAAATTCACTCAGTTGAATTGCTAGTGTTAATTGAATTTTTGTCTAGACACCATTTCTGTTGATGAAATAAAGACATATCATTATGCATTGTAAACTGACTTCCTCTGCCTCTGATCCCTGCCTGTGTTGCAGATTGCGGACGGGGAAACTCAAGAAATCTCTTCTCCCCAAGAGGCTACTTCTCTTTCTTTAGTTTGGACCCTTCCCTACTACCCAAGTAATCTTAAAAATTGGGCAGTATACTAGGCACTGGTGGCTCATGCCTGTAATCATAGCTCCTCAGGAAGCTGAGATCTGTGGCTCACAGTTTGAAGCCAGCCTTTAGCAGGAAAGTCCACCAAAGAAAGCCAGAGCAGAGCTGTGGCTTAAGTGGTAGCCTTTGAGTGAAAGAGCTGAGGAACAGCACCCGGGCCCTGGGTTCAAGCCCGAGGATAATGCTAATTTAATTCTTAAACTCTGAATTTTAAAAAATATCTAATCCTTGTGAAAAATAGAGAAAAGGCATTCGGCCTAACTTCCTGGTTTTTGTGTTGCACTATGCTTATGCAGAGTATTATTGCAGGGGGAAACTGTGTGAAGTGTATTGGATTTTGCAACTACATGTGGACTTATAATTTTACCAAAAGTTTAATTATTAAGTGGTGTTATGGCTCAAAGTGGTAGAGCGCTAGCCTTGAGCAAAAGAGTTCAAGGACAGTGCCTAGGCCCCAAGTCCAAGCCCCATGACCTACTAAAAAAAAAAAAATTAACTAAAAAATCTTAAGCCAGTCATAATGGCACCCACCTGTAAACCCAGCTACTCAGGAGGTTGAGATGGGTTCACTTGAGCACACAACCTGAAGACCAGCCTGGGCAGCTAGTAAGAACCCAGCTCAGAAAAGAAAGGAAAAGAAAAGAGAAAACAGAAAAGAAGACAAAAGAAAATTTAAAAACGTAAGTGTAAGTAAATGAGGATAGGACATTAAACCAAGAGCAAAACGCAATGAGTTACAGAAACAGAAATTTAGAACTGTGGTTGAGGAATAAATATAGTTAATCCAGAAAAAAATATATTCAGTGGCTTATATTTTCAACTTTGATGTAAAGGGTAAATGAGATGTTGCATTGTGGGTCAGCCAGATGACAATAAGTAACACTGGACTGTCACTTTGAAGTAAGAGAAAAATTAGCCAGGGGCTGGGGGCTCATGCCTGTCTTCCCAGGTTTTCAAGACTCTGAGATCTCAGGACTGTGGTTCGAATCTAGTATGGGCACG